AAGAAGAGAAAGACCTTAGGCAGCTTTTTTAAAGTAGCAAAGGGGAACGAGGCAGCCGCACCTGAAGTCGAGCAAGTTATCGACATGGAACTAGGCGCATATCTACTCTCAAGAAATATCGACAGCGAAGATGACCCCTTAAAGTGGTGGAATAACAACAAGGGACAATACCCAAGATTGTCCATGCTGGCCAGGAAATACTTATGTATTACTGCGACCAGTAGCCCTTCAGAAAGGGCTTTCAGTACAGGGGGGGACATTATAACTTGCCAGCGTTCCTCCCTGAAACCTCAGAATGTCGACATGTTGGTGTTCTTAGCCAAGAATCTTAAAGTGCAGTAGATGGACTGTGCTAGTAGCTAGGCAGCTAGGCTTTATTTACATTTATTCTGAAGCTGTAACTTTATGTTCTGTTCGCCTAGCCGGCTAGCACCCAGTTCAACTACTGCACTTAAAGGTTCTTGTACTGAAAAAAACATAAACTTAAACAAAGTGCTAGACTCCACTGAGTAGTAATGTCACTGAATCAAAAGGATTAACTTAAATACTGCAGTCAGTACTGAATATAAAAACGGAACAGAACATAAAGTTACAGCTTCAGAATAAATGTAAATAAAGCCTAGCTGCCTAGCTACTAGCACAGTCCATCTACTGCACTTTAAGATTCTTGGCTANCAGAAGAGAGAAACTCTGTCAGGTTACAAGGAAGTGGAGAGGAAAATATCACAAACGGAATACTACAGGATTGCTGGGAATACACAAAGTTCCAGTGGCGTGGCTTTGGCTGGACGAGTAAGGAGAGAACGAGGACATATGGAGTGGAGACCATAAAGTTGACCAAAGCAAGTCCCTTTAGCAGTGTTCCCCCATGGCATTTCCCAGAAGCTAATATATATGTGAGTATCATAGAAAGGAAAAAAGAGTGGCAAATAAATGAAGTGGGAATTAAAACGAGTATGTACCTGAACGAAAGGTATTACAATTACCTCAACATTTACACAGATGGATCTAAGAAGCAAGAATTTAAAATATCAATCTCAAAACGAGTTTATCAGTTTATACAGCAGAAATACTCGCAGCAATTATTGGGCTACAATGGGTCGAAGATGTCAGTCCTGACGGTGGTGATATGCACAGACTCACTATCTGCTTTGCAAAGTATACAGTAGACAAAAACTGTTAGAGAAGATCTAATCATTGAACGTAATCATTGCTTACTGAGACTTCAGGAAAGGGGAATAGATCAAGCTGGCCATCAAGCTCAGAGACCTCGGGCTCAACTTCGCCCTCTGTGACTGGATCCTGAACTTCCTGATGGGCAGACCCCAGGCAGTGCGGGTGGGAAACATCACATCCTCCACCCCGAACCTCAACACTGCCCCTCAAGGCTGCGTGCTCAGCCCTCTCCTCTACTCCCTGTTCACTCATGACTGCGTGGCCACACACAGCTCCAACACCATCTGGAAGTTTGCTGACGACACGACCGTCATCGGCCTGATCACAGACAGCGACGAGACGGCGTACAGAGAGGAGGTCGAAAACCTGACATCTTGGTGCCAGGAGAACAACCTCCATCTCAATGTCAGCAAAACCAAGGAGCTGATTGTGGATTACAGGAAGCAGCATGGAAAGGGACATGCCCCATCACCATCAATGGGACTACGGTGGAGAGAGTCAGTAGCTTCAGGTTCCTTGGGGTCCACATAACTGAGGACCTGACATGGACTCTTCACACCACCACCATCACTAAGAAAGCTCGACAGCGGCTCTTCTTCCTCCGCAGGCTAAGGAGGTTCAACATGGACTCCAGGATAATCTGCAACTTCTACAGAGTATCCTGACTGGCTGCATCACGGCCTGGTACGGCAGCTGCACCACCCTTAATCGTAAGGCTTTACAGAGGGTGGTGAAAATGGCACAGCACATCACCAGGACGGAGCTGCCATCCATGGAGGACCTTTACTCCCAGCGGCTCAGGAAGAACTCCCTCAGGATTATAAAATACCCCCTCCCCCCAGCCACAAACTGTTCATTCTGCTGCCGTCTGGCAGGCGTTACCGCAGCATCCGGAGTAATACCACCAGACACAGAGACAGCTTCATCCCGCAGGCAATCAGACTGTTGAACAACTGAACTGCTGAAACAATTTCATAACATTCATCCGCTACTTAGTAATTATCTATCTATTATCTAATATATCATTCCAATAACTTGTATAGACTCGTATGGCACTATTCCACTTACTCACTTTCTTTAGAACTATTTTTCTTTTTTTATTACTTTTAATATAATATACTTTAATATTGTCTGCTTATCTGTATTATTGTGTTGTATTGTTGGAAAGCCTATGACCTAAGATTTTCAACGACATAATTACTCTGTAGCTATGTTAGTTTGACAATAAAGAACCTTGAACTTTGAGATGTGCAGTTATGCTGGGTGCCTGCACATGAGGGGGTTAAAGGGAATGAACATGCTGATAAATTAGCAAAATGTGTTACAATAGCAATTCCAGTTTAACTTGGGAAAGGAGAAGGAAAAGCAATAATTAAGAAGGGTTTGGAAATATGGCAGAAAAGGTGGGAGGAAGATCTGAAAGGGAGGAGATAGCACAAGTTACAGAAATCTGTCATAACAAAGATACAGAAAGGAACAGACGGGAGGAGATCATCATCACTAGACTCAGACTGGATCATACAGGATTAAACAGCATAATGTTTATAATGGGAAAAATCGAAGTTGAAAAATGCAGGGGGTGTGAATGAAAGAAAATATGGAACACATCATATTACACTGCAACATGTACAAAACAGAGAGGGAAAAACTAAGAGACAGGGTTATAGAGGCAGGAAGGGAGTGGAGCCTGATGGGGACACTGGGAACAGAAGGTGATGGGGTAAGAGCTACCAGGAAGGCCATTTTTAAGTATTTGAGTGAAACAGGATTGATTGGAAGAATTTAAAAACAAAGTAAACACAGTGGTATAATTCCACAAGTGGTGATAGGTTGATATGGTGATACGCACTCTTGTACAGTAGGTGGCGGTATGCACCTTAAAGTTGTTTGCAATCTGCCAAAAACCGAGAAAAGAAGAAGAAGAAGAAGATGACTCCGTAGTTTATCCGAGTTTATCTGGTTAACAGCGTCACGAACCAGTGACAGAAACAGATCATTAAAATGTTTTGGTTTGTTGGCTCCATTCCTGATGCTATTAAGTTGGCTAAACTGCGGAGTTCCGTCTTTGTCGTTGTCATTACAGGTATGTGTGTGTTTGTCCATTAACCAGATAGCTATTGTTAGCTGCATTGGTAAATAGTCATCTAGAAGCGCTAGCCAGCTAGCAGTGGTAGCTGATAGTGCTAAGCTGCTTCATAAACTAGCATAGTGAACCCATGTCACACAATAGTAGAGTAGTGTATTTATGCATATTGGAGGAATATAGGCCAAGAAGATAGACACAATTTCACGAGATGTGCCATATATACATATACAGTCCTGAAAAGCTTAACCCAACTATTCCTTAACATCATGGACGTCATGGGGTTAAGGAAAGAGGATTCATTAGGACTTGGGAAATGACCACTGCAGTGCTTTGAGACTGACTGCACTGACATTATCAAACGTGTTTATGATGCGCCAGCGGATTTGATTAATGTGCGTATACCATTCTCCCTAAAGTAGACTAGTGTAAGAATACATAGATACTTTGCACTGTGCGATTTTATGGTGTCGTTTTATGTGGGCTCTATGATATTGCATCCGGGAGCTAGCATTAGCTATCCTATTTTGACAGGATCGTTCTTGTACTGAATGACATGTGTGTACTCAGGGGGAGATGAGCAGTCCGCACAGCTGATGTCCAGCTGGGAGGATGACAGAGTCTCAGAGGCAGCACACAACTGTTGTGTGGCTATCAAAGTCAATGACAAAAGGTACTACTATTGTCTTCACTTAAATGCATTACATTTCATTCTGTTGCAAGATAAGTACGCTTAGCATTCTTGTCAACCATTAGTAAAATATGATGACCCATTACTTTAAGAGCTTATCACCTTAACTTCCCAATGTCCTGGACAAACTGTTGTGTCTTAATAGTTTTGTGGACATGGACTTGAAGAGTAGTCATTGTACATAACTGAATAATAACATGTATTTTTTGTGTGCATATTAAACATATCTGCAACATTTCTTCCACAGTGAGCCATGTGTGCAGTTCTCTCAGATCTGTATCTTTTGTGCCCCTAAATACTGGTGGAGTTACTACAGAAGGCCATTTTTTATACTCACTAATCTCTGAGGGAAGCTCATACTAGCACTACCCATTTCATTGCTGTTTTCAAACAAATAGGCACTGTTAATTTAAGCCCACATTACATTGATTAATTTACTGTTCTTTTCACAGGGCATCTAAGATTTCTCTTGACCACCACTTTCATCGTTTTTTTAACTATTTGTTCTAGATATGTCTGTGATCAGTGAAGAATGATATTTATAATTATTATATAACACATTTGCTGGGAGCTTCTTCCTTAACCCCCCCGTTTGAAGATCCAGTGGTGTGCATACCCTCAAGCTTCTTTATTGGGGAGAATGGGATCCCTTTGGAGGTGATCGCTGGCAGTGTGTCCGCTGAAGAACTGATGATAAGAATCAACAGAGTAAAGCAGGTACGGCCGCAGGAAGGGGGTGTAAACAGTGGTGCAGGGAGATCATTACTGGTTTTTCAATCCTTTTTTTACGTTTTCTCTAGTTTAAAAAAAACAAAACACGATGAAGAATCACATGCATGCCTTTAGACATTTTAGCGGCTCCGGGGTGGGCAATGTTGTGTACCAATTCTTGAATCATAACGACTTTGTAATCGTTGAATGCAAGTATTTTACAACCCCTAGATATGAATACTACCTGCCAATACTGCTTATGAACTGCCACTGAAGCTACTAAATCTACTACTAAATTATTTTCTGAAGATGATCTTTTTCCATTTTGTCAAAGATGCATGCCCAGGAGATGACAGGGGTAACAGAACTCCCAGAGGCCAGTGGTCCTGTGGAGACGAGCATGTTCGATGGCAAGCCTCCTGTCGCAGCTTCAGCTCTAGGAGCGCAGGTTAGGACGGGAGCAGCCTCACAACCTGCAGCAGCACGTGGGACTGCAGAAGGTGGGTATGTCTGGATAGCACTGTCATTAAAGGTCACCTATTATGCAAAATGCCATTTTTTTTATGACTTTTATACATACATATGTGTTTCCCCTCTGTAAGGAGATAGATACAGATATATAGATAGATAGATAGATAGATAGGTACTTTATTGATCCCAATTTGGGAAATGTTTGCAAGACTCAGTAAGTGTCAGAAAATATAGAAAATTGCTGATGTAGGACAAAGCAAATAAATAGGAAATAAAACTAATGTGTTGTGTCAACCCTCAAAGTACACCCTGTAAGCGAGTAAAACTCTAACACAGAAAAGACGTGTCTTCTCTCTGGAGGAACACTTCCGCGATCTCTGTCTCCTCTCTGTTTCTCCCCCCACCCTATAATGGATGGGGGGAGAAACACTGACACTTACTGTGTTTGTTATCACATTAGCTGTAAAATGTACCACCTATGGTGTTCTTAGTTTCCATACCTCCTGTGTTTTACGAGCGAATTATCAAGTATTGGCGAACGGCATTAAACATGATGGTATACAAAAATGTGTATCTATGCAACCACAGTACTTTTTTGACATGACTGGATACCATTTTTAACTGAACCTTTCAGCCTTCCAACAGTAAATGGTCGGCTGGCAGAGGGTGTGCCTATTGTTCTATAGCTATGGGCGTGCAACATTCCAACAGATTTACTGACGTCAATGGCCCCCGGAAGAAAAAATGGAAAAAGAAAAATCTACGATGAGGCGTGGGGGGGCAGCATAGACACATATTTTCTGTGTTAGAGTTTTACTCGCTTACAGGGTGTACTTTGAGGGTTTGTGACTTTGCAGACCGTTTACATGCAGAAAAAGCTACATAACATACAAGGGGACGGGTAATAACTGGAAAAGCATACGATGGGATCTTTAAGACAATATAAATATACATATATAAAATGTTTGTTATCACATTATTGCCTACATTATAGGGTGGGGGGAGAAACAGAGAGGAGACAGAGATCACGGAAGTGTTCCTCCAGCCTTTTTTATTGACTGAATATAGAGAGAACAATTTCACACTCTGCAAGCCAAGACCTCGTACGGAAATAACCATAATGCAAGTTTTTTAAAAACACAAATCCATGTGTGTCTCTGAATGAGCCGTAGCAACACCGGACTGACTCTAACAGAGCGGGTCATTTAGTCACTGACTGTCTCACTCAGAGTTCTCATGCTTTAAACGGCTGATATTATGTCGCCTCAGTGCGCATGTCACAAAACGAGATGCATTGTGAGACATGTAGTTTATGAGCAACGTGCTTCTGACATGAGAGTAGAGGCTTTTGATGGTCATGTGACATTAACTTCTCCATATCTGCCATACACTTTTCTTTATGGAAGTCAAGACATCTCTCGGCTGTGATAAGTGGTTCTCCTCACATTACATATGGTGGCTATGGCGTAGTTCTGCACGATTCTTGCTCAAATGTGAATCACGATTTTCCTCCATAAGAATTGAGATCACGATTCTCATCGTTTCAATGAAAATATTTATTTCACTCTTACTCTTAGACGTCACGTGAGTACAATGAATTTAAACAGACAACATTTGTCTCTCTTGTAACAAAAACATAACTTTGTCTTTAGTATGTAGTTGCTGAATACTGAACAAACATTACTACATTCAAAATGTGGCACCTGGAGCCAACTATTGTGGCTTTAAACAGACACCATCAACATCAAAGTGCTTGACTTACATCCAAGACTGTATATATAAATGGACGTAGTGTCCGTGACGTCACCCATAGGATTCTGCAGAGTTGCCGAGAAGCCCTTAGTAGGCGGAGTCGGCCACTAACGGCTTGACAGCGACGTCAGATTCTAATCCCGCCTGCTCCAAATAAGGGCAAAGAGGCGGAGCCGAGGCGGGACCTGCTGCCTCCGAACTGGAAGTAAACTGAGCTAGCTCAGGCTAAGAAGCTAAGCTAACATGAAATACATAGAGAGCAACGTCTACACAAGAGTAAACTAATACTCACATTCGTAAATATATATCCCCTTGATGTGACAATCGTCATTG